GGTCTTACCCCAGGAGGCAGAAATAGCTGGTCAGAGATCAAGCCAGCTTAGAAGTCTAGTTTGTCTAGTCTATGAGGTGATGACTGTTTTTTCTCCTTGAAACCAGAAGAAACGGGGCACCTGGGTGGCTCAGTTGGATAAGTGTCTGCCTTCAGCTCAGGTCGTGATCCCAGATTGAGCCCCATGTTGGGCTCCCTGCTCAGCGGGGAGCCTGCTTCTCCCTCTCCCTCTGCCCTTCCCCCTGCTTATGCTCATGCACACTGTCTCTCTCTCTCTCTCTCTGTCAAATAAATAAATAATTTAAAAAAATAAAAAAATTAACAATATGGTGCTATCCTTTATTTATTTATTTATTTATTTATTTATTTATTTATTTGACAGAGAGACAGAGAGTACAGGTAGGCAGAGGGGCAGGCAGAGGGAAAGGGAGAAGCAGGCTCTCTGCTGAGCAGGGAGTCCGATGCGCAGGGCTCGATCCCAGGACCCTGGGATCACGACCCAAGCCGAAGGCAGTCACTCAACCGACTGAGCCACCCTGGCACCCCTGGTGCTATCCTTTTTATTTTTTTTATTTTATTTATTTATTTTTGTTAAAGATTTTACTTATTTATTTGATAGAGAGAGACACGGCGAGAGAGGGAACACAAGCAGGGAGAGTGGGAGAGGGTGAAGCAGGCTTCCCGCGGAGCAGGGAGCCCGATGCGGGGCTCGATCCCAGGACCCTGGATCATGACCTGAGCCGAAGGCAGATGCTTAACGACTGAGCCACCCAGGCGCCCCTGGTGATATCCTTTTTAAAAACACATTCTCTCGGGGCGCCTGGGTGGCTCAGTTGGTTAAGCGACTGCCTTCGGCTCAGGTCATGATCCCAGAGTCCCGGGATCGAGCCCCACATCGGGTTCCCTGCTCAGCAGAGAGCCTGCTTCTCCCTCTCCCACTCCCCCTGCTTGTGTTCCCTCTCTTGCTGTCTCTCTCTCTGTCAAATAAATAGAATCTTAAAAAAAAAAACACATTCTCTCAAGTGACGAAGACACTGATCCCTCTTGGTCTCTTTATTGTTGGCAGAAGGAATCTTTATATCAGTAAAGGAACTCCACAGCTCCTTAAATTCCCTTGTTATCTTCCAGCTTGGATATGACTTAGTTTTTCAGTCCTAGGTGAGGCAGTGTTTTCTGAGAGAGAGACTCCTTTGGAAACTAGGTCCAGAGAATTTTGGCAAGCTATCTAGATGTGATTAAGCATCGGTACTGAGCTGCATTGAGAGCTAGTGTTTTTTTTTTTTTTTTTCTGTATTTATTTGTCAGAGAGAGAGAGTGAGAGCACAAGCGGGGGTGAGGGAGAGCTGCAGGCAGAGGGAGAAGCAGGCTCCCTGCTGAGCAAGGAATCCGACACGGGCTCTATCCCAGGACCCTGATATCATGACCTGAGCCAAAGTCAAGAGTCCGATGCTCCACCAACTGAACCATCCAGGCACCCCTCTTTACGTTCTTTTTTTTTTTAAGATTTAATTTGTTAGCATGCATGTGCACACGAGCTGGGGGAGGAGCAGAGGGAGAGAGACAAGCAGACTCTGTGCTGAGCACAGATCCCAACTCGGGGCTCAACCCCATGGCCCTGAGATCACGACCTGAGCCGAAACCAAGAGTCGGTTGCTCAACTGACTGAGCACCTCTCCCTTTCCTTTTATAAAATCTGGAACCATTCTCCAATATTTCTGTGTTTCAGGTTATATTAGAGACCTAGGGCTTTTGTTTTGTTGGTTTCTAACAGTATATACTAGTCACTTTTCCATATTGATTTGAGAACAGTGAAGCATAGAGATTGAGCCAGGGTTGTGGGGCCAGATTACCTGGCTTTTTTTTTTTTACTACTTAAAAAAGTTTTCTTACCAGTGCAGTGGGGATACTGATACCACCTCTTAGGGTTGTGAGAAGTAACTGAATGGGTATGTGTACATTACTGACTACAGTGCCTGGCGCAGAGGAAGCGCTCCGAAAATGCCAGCTATTCTCGTTCACACCACTAAATGCCATTCCCAGGGGACACTTTGCAGACTTGTTGGCAGTGGCTGTTGTGGCTGTGTTCTCTCCCTCTCTTCTTCCACTCTCCTTGTCTTCATACCTAGGTTCCAGAGAGCAAACGTGGCCAGCTTCCTCCACGGCACTATGTCTTAGGTTGGAAAAAACGACTCTAAGACAGTGGCTCCTAAATGCTGGTTCATGAACTAGTATTGGTTGGTAACGAGTTTCACTGATGTTTTTTTTTAAGATTTTATTTATTTATTTGACAGAGAGCACAAGCAGGGGGAGCGGCAGGCAGAGAGAGAGGGAGAAGCAGGCTCCCATATCTCACTTCATCATCATGATCAGCCCTGCCAGCTAGCTCCGTATTATTCTCCCTGCTTACAGGGAGAAAATGGAATCTCGAGGAGCTAATGTAATCCACCCAAGGTTATACAGCTCTGAGCGTATACCTGCAGTTAGAACCCAGGTCTCCCTGATTACTGAGGCTGTGTGGGCTCCTTTTTCTGTCTAGTGATTTACAATTACTTGTGTGTGGGATTTTAGCATAGGATCCATAAGTCCACAAGTTCATGGGTCTCTCTTCAGTCAAGATAGGCTGAAGGTACAATTACCACATAGAGGGTCTTTTTTTTTTTTTTTTTTAAGTGGCCTTGTAGTACAAAAATTTGGAAACATTTCTTCACCCTACAGGCAATTATCATTTGGACAATAGGTAGGAGTGCCTAATTTTTAGTGACTCTTAAACTAGGAATGAAACTACCACCTTGCCTGAGTCTGAGGGATTCTTCAGCCTTTGGTTCTAGCTATATATAGGCTGCTTTCCAAGGAAAGAAAATGAGCTGCTGTGTGAAATTAGTGGCTTCCCAAGGAACACTTAAGAACTCCTGACTGGGCATGGAAAATAAGAGGGCATTTAAAGACTTACTACTAGTGTGAGGTGAAAAGTTGAAGGCCAAGTCACGAGTTGCTGAAGTCGACAGATTCTGGCTCCAAAGCTGTGGGGTGCTGTGTCTGGTGCAGTATTTCTTAAATTTGGCCGCACATTACAACTGTCTGTGGTGCTTTTTGAAAAATCCATGATCCTGTGCCCTGCCGCCCCCACCCCCCGACTCTCTGACTGAGGGACCCACATGTGATTGCAGCTGGAAAGCTCTCCCAGGTGATGCTGGGGACCAGCTTACCTCTGGCTCTTATTGGATAATCAGATGCCTCACCAGCCTTGGGAATAGGAAGGCTCTGAGGGGTTAAGGACAGTTGTCCCGGCACTTTCCTGGAAGGTGCAACGTAAATTTCTGATCATGCATACTGGGGTTGACAAATGAGCTGCCCAGGGCATTTTTAATCCCTTCTTTTCCCTAATTGTTCACTGAAGTTATACACATTCTTGTCAGAAGCCCATTTCTGCACATTGCTTGACAGTAGACTAAAAATTCCCTTGCTCTAAATGATAGTTGTAGAAGAGGAGTGTTGGGAATTGGATCATCCACTGATTCATTTCGTCCCCTTCTGTATAGTCCTATGCATATTCCACCAGTGGCATAGGAACAGAGCAGTGGGGTGGCTGCTCTGAGGCTCGCCCTGCACTCCTCACTGTGGAATCCTACTTGTGCCGAAGCTCACACCCACCTCTCCCTTACCGGCTGTGTTTCAGACACTGGTGTCTCCTTCTGGTCCTCGAATATGGCCGACCTCATGCTTCTTACGCCCACAGATCTTCTGGTGGCTCCCTCCAGCGATGGAGGCCTCAGCTCAGATGTTGTCTCCTTGAGAGCTGTTTCCTTATCAGTTTATCATGTTACCTGATTTATTTTCATCAGAGCATTAGTAGTCTGAAATAATTTTTTTTTAAGTTTTATTTATTTGAGTAGTCTCTGTACCCAACATGGGGCTCGAACTCACGACCCTGAGATCAAAAGTGGCATGCTTTTCCGACTAAGCCAGCCAGGCACCTCTCTCTGAAAGAATTTTATTTACTTGCTTATTGTTTGTCTCTTCCATTCTGACGTCAGCTCTATGAGCCCCCAGCATCTGGAACAGTGCCTGGCTCCTAATAGGTGCTCACTGATAGAAGAAGGAATGTTTTGGGCTCCCTACCCTTACATATCCTTCCCATATCTCATTTCTGAGCTTGTGTAGGTATCTCTTGTTGCTAGTAGCTTAGAACTGTAGCAGTAGTCAAAGCTAAATATCCTCGAGCCTCATGATTTTGCTAAATCTGCCATGCTGCAGTGTTCCCACAGAGCTTTTTCCTTGCCCACATGTAGTAGGTTAGAATGACAACAGCTATTTGGAAATATATGTCCATAAGGTTCAATTGGAGGGTAAATGATCCCTTTGGATTAGAGTTAACTTTATTGTCTCTCAAGTGGTGGGATTTTTATCCTTTGGGCAAGAGCTTATGCTGAGATCCTGGGCAGTAAACGCCATCTTGAATTTGGAAGGATTTAGCTCTATTTGTCAGTCCTGTGTCTCCCCTTGCTACAGAAATACTACTGTCTGGGTGCAGACAAAACAAGTGGCCTGGCCTTCTGACTCAGAGACATAAGCGAAGTGGGGCCTTCTTGGACAGTGTAACGCTGTGTGTTTTATGAAGTCTCTGAAAGCCTTAGAGAGGTTTTCCTAGTGGGCCCCTTTGAGAATCGGGTAGTAACAGACCCTCTCCTTAGAAAACATACAAGCATCTATCTGTGCACATAGTTTTGCCTGTAATTTTGAGGGGTGTGAGGACTTGCTAAATGCCCTCCACGATCCTATAGTTCTGTTTGGGGATTTAGATTGGTTTGCTCATCCACCACAGCTGGGTCAAAGCTCTTCCACGGCTGTTTCTTTCTGACCTGGTCTCCTGTCTTCTGTGTCCCCTCTCGTTTTTATAACAACCTGCTGGACCCTCTCAGGCCCAGAAGAGGCGATATTCTCCAGGCGTCCAGGTACTCAGTCTTGACCCACCATGGCCATGCCTTACTCCCTATGTGTCCATCTACCATTTGCTCCTGTTTACACCCATGTGGCTGTTTTCTTGAGAGTCACCAGTCTCTGACTTTAACTGCATCTCCACCTGCATGTTGACTGTTGAGGACAATGAGGAAGTCACCAGAGATGTGGCATGTGTCATGTTTCCTGTCCTTTCATCACCCTGCCTCTGCACTGTCTCAGCCCTAGGCTGGTTCTTAAATAGTTAGCCCATCATTTCTGAGGAAGAATTCACTCCTCCAACTCTATTGGAGAGACAGGGCCTCTGAAGTAGGTGGGAAGATGGGTGGCATATGCGGAAGCTCGTAGTGGGAGAACTTGCCCAGGGTATTACGGGGAGAAGTTATGTGTAGGTGAAGCTGAAGCGGGCTGGAAGGTCTTTCGACTAAGAACAGTCCTTGTGGCTGGAGAACACCAGCCAGCAGCCTGGTTCTGGCAGTGCTGTTTCTGAGTCCTGATCCATTTAGCATCCATCATATGCTTATAGGATTTGAGGATTTGAAAGGAGCTATCCGGAATGGAAAGATTTCCCTGATCAAACAGGTATTTTCAAAGTACCTGCTATGTGTAAAATGCTTACTTGGGGGGTGGGGGAAGGGAGGTTGTGGGGGATGGAAGGTGGAGACATACAAGTATAGTGATTTTTTTTCTTTTAAGAAGTTTACATAGCAACTGGGGAGATAGGTATATATACAGAAAAAGGAAACCACCAGTCCTGGGCCATGTATGGATGTGAGTGCCAAATAGTGATCTATGGAAGGATTCGAGTCCAGACTCCAGAGGGGCCATTTCAGGCCCACCCCGGGTTGGTAGCAAGGAGGATTCCTGAAGGCAAGTAGAGAGGTCAGTTGCTTTCTGGGCCATAGCCTTTGACCATCTGAATGTGCGCTCTCAGGGGCTACTAATGATGAGGCGGAGTGGTCGTCTGGTCTGCTGGAAGGGGCTCAGCTTGTATGTGCACAATCCCCGATGCTGTTTGTACAGGCGTTCCTGAGAGCGCTTCCTTACTGTCCTCTGTTCTTCCTTCCCTGCTTTCCCAGCGGGTCTTCCCCTATATCTCAGCCATGGTGAACAATGGCTCCCTCAGCTATGATCATGAGCGGGATGGGCGGCCTACAGAGCTGGGGGGCTGTACAGCCATTGTCCGCAATCTGCACTATGACACCTTCCTTGTGATTCGCTATGTCAAGAGGCATTTGACGGTGAGTCCTTGTTTTCTGGACCAGTTGGTGGTATGGGCTGCCTTGCACCTGCTTTCGTGGCCCTGATGTATCTTTTCTTTTTATTCCAGATAATGATGGACATTGACGGCAAGCATGAGTGGAGGGACTGCATCGAGGTGCCCGGGGTCCGTCTGCCCCGGGGCTACTACTTTGGCACCTCCTCCATCACTGGGGATCTCTCGGGTACTGCCACGTGCACTCTTTATTTGTCCTGACTGAGGTCATATCTCGAGAGCCGGGCCTTAGTGAGGCTTCTCAGAGGGGAGAGCCAGACAAGCAGAGCTGTGGGAAGCGAGTACCCAGACTGTGCTTCTCTTCTGGCGTTCTGGTATTCTTCAGCGCCCCCCACCCCTCCTCCCCGGCCCGGGCCTAGGCTCTCCTAGTGCAGTTGGCTCTAGGAGACGGTTGGTACTAATGGGAAGCAGGGTCTGCGTCTTCATCAGGCCAGCTCCTCTAGCCCATGTTTGGAGTTCTGTGCTTTGCGATCTTTGGTGCCCCTTCTGCAGTCTGGTTTCTTCCCGTCCACCTCCTGATGGGCCGCGTTCCCCTTCTCTTAACAAAGCTTTTCCTTGAATTCCTTGACTGTGCCATCCTTCTTCTAATCGCCGCCCCCGGGCCCTGTTCATGCTCAGACTTTTCAATGTGTTGTGTGTACAGGTGCCTCTGTGTCCAGGCCGTCCACCGCTCTAGCCCGCTGCACTCGGGCCTCCTGTGCATCTTGGCCAGGCCGTGAGCACTACTCTCATCAAAGCTACTTCTGTTTCCTTGCCACGTCTGGTCCTCTGCTCTCAGTCCTTGCTCTTTGTCCTCTTCGGCTGGTTTGACCAGTTACTCTGAAACTCTTGCTTGATTTATGTGGCATTAATAGTACCTGGTTCTTTTACTTTTCTATCTCTGGATTTTCTTCCTACTTGTTCCTGATTTGTAGCATCCCCTTCTATGTTTATTCTGTCCCTTGGCTTGAGCTTTAATCGTAACCTCTTTTGAGAAGAGGTAAGGCACTGAACTTTTGGGTTTTTTGACTAGTATAATTCATTTTGAATAAAGCTAGTATGAATTGGAATAATTTTTGTTTATCCGAAGGAGTCCTTTGCTCTAGGTGTTTAGTGATGATGCCTATATCAGTAAGTCTCTGTTCTCTGCCTATAGGATATCCCTAAATACAAATTAGGTCTTTCTCTTAAGATCTTTTTTGTTGGCATCTTTTTTTTTTTTAATCAAGATTTTATTTATTTGAGAGAGAGAGTGTGCATGAGAGCAAGCACAAGCAGGTGGGAGGGGTAGGGGCAGAGGGAGAAGCAGAACCCCCCTGAGCAGGGAGCCAGATCGGGACTCGATCCCAGGACCCTGGGATCATGACTTGAGCTGAAGGCAGACACTTAACCAACTGAGCCACCCAGGCGCCCTGTTGGCATCTTATTATTATGCAGTGGATTGTTGAAAATGGCTGAGGACACATTCCAGTTCTCCCAGCCTTTGATGCCCCTACATTGTGAGGAGCATTGCCCTAGCTTTTTATCTTGTCCCATGGCTTAAACAGTCCTGACAGCAAAAACATTTTTCTAATTGAAGGTAATCTAATTTTTTCCTATCGGGGTCTGCTAAAGATTCTAAGAGTCCAAGCAGCCGTAGATGCCATCCTACTAATAGAAATAGTGCTTTTCCTTTTTTGGGAACGAACTGAGGGTCACTTATCTGGAGCTGGGGCAGCCATCTTGCCACCAGCTGGAGGATGAAGATCACAGAAGAGGGCAGAATGGAGAGAATCACAGAGAAATGGTGTACCAGGGCTTCTGGTGCACCGTGCCTGGAGCCATACAGAGGTTGCAATTGGAATAATCCTAATACGTGAGATAGTAATTGATGGATTTTTCCCCCATATACAAAAATTCTAAATTTCTTGGTTCAAAGGATGTCTATTTAGGTGTGAGGAAGAAAAAAGTGGGGACATCATATGGTTTCTCTCTTCTTATGCCAGAAGTCAAGACAAAGTGTGCTAGGAAGACACAAGTTGGGAAGGAGTCCGGGGAATGAATGGTTGAGGGGTCCCCAAATTATTACCCCAAACTAGATTTCCTCAGCTGAGAACAGAAAGGGCAGAAAGTGCCCTGTGCAAATCTGTTTTGCACTATAGTGTTGCACTATGAGGATCACAGTTTCCTTTGGGCCTAACATAGGTCTTAAAAGTCAACTAGAAGAATGATCTAGATCCACACTATCCGATATAATAGCGACTAGTTACAGGTGGCTACTGGACACTTGAAATAGGGCCATTCCAAACTGCCATGTGCTATAAATATAGAATACACACCAGACTTCAAAGACTTAGAAAATGAACATAAAATGTCATCCGTGGGGCAGCTGGGTGGCTCAGTCGGTTAAGCATCTGCCTTCAGCTCAGGTCATGATCCCAGGGGCTTGGGATTGAGTCCCACATTGGGCTCCCTGCTCGGCAGGAAGCCTGCTTCTCCCTCTGCCCCTCCCGCTGCTCGTGTTTTTTTTTTTTTCTCTCTTTCAAATAAATAAAATCTTAAAAATAATGTCATCCATAATTTCTATATCATTTGCATGTTGAAATGGTAGTTCTTTTAATATATTGGGTTAAATAAAATATGTGTTAAAATGAAAAAAAAAAATAAATGGCAAGAAATCCAGTCTGTAGCAACCAACGTGGTAGCCATGAGCACCCCTAGCATTCAGATTTGTGGTCTGTTAATACCAGTTCCTGCTAAAGGAAACAAGAGCTTCCTGATGCCTGGTCTGAGGTCGGAAATGGACAAGCTGGGAACTTCCCAGGAAAGCAAGGAAGATAATCAAAAACTTCTGGGTTCATGTAAAAGGGCTCAAGAGCCAACGTGAATAGGCTCCCACTGGAGAAAGATGGGTAGTGTTGAGCATCTATAAGAGGTACAAGTTCAATGTCTTGAAACATATCAAGACATATGTTTGAATCGATGAGATTATAATGACACTTTAAAAAGAGAAGAGAGGGGCGCCTGGGTGGCTCAGTCGTTAAGCATCTGCCTTCGGCTCAGGTCATGGTCCCAGGGTCCTGGGATCGAGCCCTGCATCGGGCTCCCTGCTCAGCGGGAAGCCTGCTTCTCCCTCTCCCGCTCCCCCTGCTTGTGTTCCCTCTCTTGCTGTGTCTCTCTCTCTCTGTCAAATAAATAAATAAAATCTTAAAAAAAAAATAAGAGAGGAGAAAAGGGGCGCCTGGGTGGCTCAGTTGGTTAAGAGTCTGCCTTCGGCCCAGGTCATGATCTCGGGGTCCTGGGATCGAGCCTGTGTTGGGCTCCCGCTCAGCAGGGAGTCTGCTTGTCCCTCTACTCCTCCCCCTGCTTGTGCTCTCTCTCTCTCTCTTAAATAAATAAAATCTTGAAAAATAAATGGGATTCCCTAATTCCTTGATCCTTTCTCTAGTAATTCTTAGTGAGATTCAGGGTGACAGTTACAAGAAGCGGCAGAGAATTAGTCATCGTCCAGAGGGGAAGTGTGTGCCATGCCAATAGCCAGGCCCTGCTCATGGCCCATTAATCAGCTGGCATGAGGCCCTTTCCTATCTTGCTTGAGTGTGTCAGCTGCATGGAAGGGAAGTGGTGGTACTGTGTCTTTCCCTCACTTTGCTCTAAGGTTTTACATACGAGGTGGGCTTCAGTGCTTGCATTATGTCTTAAGTTTTTTAACTATATAGGTAATGCATGCCTGTTGATAAAAACTTTAAATCCTAAGTAATGTGGACTATTCCCTGTTCCCTATCCTTATTTTCAGATGAAAGAAAACAGAGGTTTCCCTTATTTTTTTCAATCACTGCTAGTGGGGTACATGGCTGGCTCAGTTGCTACAGCATCTGACCCTTGATTTCGGGGTTGTGAGTTCACGTGTCACGCTGGATGGAGAGATTACTTAAAAAATAAAAAAAAATAAAATAAATTTCTAAAAAAACCCAAAGTCACTGCAGATGAACTGTAGATCAGAAGCTTGAACCAAGATACTCCCAAGATCCCTCTTTTTGAGGTGGTTTGGGTCCTCCTGGTGCTTTTTCCCTTTAGATAATCATGACGTCATCTCCCTGAAGTTGTTTGAGCTGACGGTGGAGAGAACCCCAGAAGAGGAGAAGCTGCATCGAGATGTGTTCCTGCCCTCGGTGGACAACATGAAGCTGCCTGAGGGTGAGCGCAGGGGATCCCGGGAAATGGTCCTGTGGTTGGGGAGGAGGTCACTGTGCCTGGGAGGTCTGAGGTGACTTGCACCCACATCCTGCTGGGCCGTCTCCTTTCTGTGTTCTTCCCCTGAAGAGCATGGAGCATGCACTCCCACCATTCCAGCAGTCTCCATGTTACAGATGAGCAGGGCTGCTCAGTTTTTAAATTGAGGCACCTGGCAAGGGGGGCGTCTGTCTGCTCTCTGGCTCCCAGAAATGAGTGTCAGAAACTGGAGACTTGGATACCTTCCCGACTGGGGAGGCTCCCTGCTTCTGACTTGCTTCCCTCTTGTTTCCTCAGTGACTGCCCCGTTGCCACCCCTGAGTGGCCTGGCCCTCTTCCTCATCGTCTTCTTCTCGCTGGTGTCTTCCGTATTTGCCATTGTCATTGGTATCATACTGTACAACAAGTGGCAGGACCAGAGCCGGAAGCGTTTCTACTGAGCCCTCCCGCTACTTCCGCCCCTGTGGCTGTCACCGTGAGCCAGCGCTGGCCCGAGCGTCCAGCCAGCCGGGCCTTCTCCAGTCTCCAGCAGCGGGTCAGAGACTCTGTTCTCTCACTGGAGCTTTGAATGCTGGGATACTGCATTGCCGTGGTGATCCATGGGGACATCTCGCTGGTTCCGGAAGCCCACCTACCCTAGGGCAGTGCTGCTGTGACGTGCCTTTCCCTGCAGTCCTTCTACTTGGGAGCTAAGAGGGATGGAGAGAATATATATGGTTCTGATGCCAAGATCACAGAAAAGAATTTCATAGCTCAGGCTGCCTTGTTGTTGGACTCTGAAGACCCTTGTGCTTCATTTTTAAATCCACAGAGAACACAACATGGATAACTCCTCATACCTTCCAGGCATCCATTTGTCGGGTTTTGCTTTTTGTCCAAGCCTCTGTCCACCTGAGGAATTTCCCCTGGAAATCTGGATGGAAACTTCTTCCCTGTGTTGCCTTCTCCCTCCACTCATTGCTCTCTCCACATGCAGCCTGAGCTGGAAGAGACATCTGGATGCCTCTCTTTTTGAGCCTGGGGCTGCAGAACAAACAGATGTTTCACTGACCCTTAGTCAGGTGGCCACAGGGAGAGGGCTTTTCGCTTTGGCTCACTGCTCCAGCCGTTGTTCTTTAGCGTGAATCTTGGTTCTGTTGGTTTGTGACCTTCCCAGTTGGTTCCTTTAGGCCCTCAGTCAGGTTTGGCCGAAAGTTGGTGTGCAAGTCAAGAGAAGCTTGTATAACTTCATGGTTGCCAGGGGAGTAACTGGGAAACTGACCAGCTCCATGTTTCGACACCAGAAGCAACAGTTGCCATGTGATCTGACCATGTGTGAAGATGTTTCTGGACTCTGGAGCCTGCTGAACTGCATGTTTGGTGTTTATCATGACTTTTGGAATCCCACTCTAGTGTTCAAAATGTGAGGAGGCTTCCTTTTTATAACCTCGGCTTGGATACTCCCCAAAGAGGAAACTTGGCTTCTTTTTCTTAATGGATAAGAGACAGTTGCTGTTCTCCTGTTGCAAATCTGGGAGCAATGGATCCTCGTCCTCTGTGCCTGGAAGAGATCATTGTCATCGAGCAACAGAGCCCGAGCGTTCTCCTCTGTGGGTCAATCCTTATTCCACTGCCTTATCTGACAAGGGGTCATGTGCTGCTCACCTGTCTGCCCTGTGATTAAATGGGCCAATAGGCCAGTCTCCCTGGAGGGCCTGGAGCTCTGAGCTCTCCTAGTCATGTACTTCTGTAGCCTAAGGGAAATTCTTAAAATGGCTGATGGAAACCAAACATGAGCTTTCAATTCAGTGTCCTTCCTTCTAGGGGTGGTTTTGGGAGAAGGTCTGGGCCTTCTTCCTGAGCCCCAAGCCCGCCATCCGTCGCTTTGCCTTCTTCTCAGTTGGGAAAGCCCTCCGCCCAGCCCGGAAGGAAAGGTCACCTTGGCTGGGTATAGGTTTCTGTCGTGTTGGGCTTTCTTCTGTCCCTCCTACGTGCTTAAGTGAGCATCATATGCTGTAGTGCTCTCCTGCAGGTGAGAGTAAAGTGGGATCCTCCTAAGACCTTCCCCACAAGAGCAGAGCAGCTCCAGGGTACCAGAGCACAAGCTGTGACCCGGAGCTTGGCCTTAGCACCACTTAGAACTGACAAAGCAAATGGCTGTTTTGTCTTTTTTGAGCGCAGGGGGGATTGGCTAGACCCCTGTGGTGGGAGGACCTCGGTGGGCTCTTGAGATGGTCCAGGCAGTGGTGCAGGAGGAAGGGGTCTCATCGTGGGGGAGGGTATGTGTGTGTGATGATTGAATTTATGAGTTTTGTGTGATTCCAGCTCCCGGGCTCCTTGTGGCTTTCGGAAAGAGGATGGGGAAGACATGAAGTGCAGTCCCCACCCAGCATGGGGCCAGCCTTTGAGAAATGTGTGATGCAAGGAAACTGTCTAACTGAGCGTGGTAGGTCCTGCCCTAGCTCTTGCTTTTTGTTCTTAGAAACAAGTATTTTCCATTGTGAATGGGACCAAATACTGTTCTGGGCCCTGTAATCCCAGGCGTGCTCTTGAGGAGGGAGAGGTCTGGTCTGTGTTTGAGGCTCTTTTGTACATGCACAGTAGAGGTGAGAACAGCGGCCTTGGCAAGCTGCTTACCCCCACATGAGCCATTTCTCTCCTCACAGCCCCCCTTTCCCTTGGTTCCCCTCTGACTTCAGACCCTCTTAGAGAGGAAGAGACCCTGAAGACTAGAGGTGGTGTATAAAGACGACGTCGTTCCCTGTCCTTGTGAGTCTTGGCTTTCATGGTTTCTTTAACCCCCCCAAATTACAAGGTGGCTCTCTGTGACAACATTTGTTTACTTCAGTGGGAAAATGACAACAGCTCTGTCCTTGTTGGAAGTGGTTTCTGAACAGAACATGCCCCTCATTGCATATGTCCCCGAAGCCCCCTGCCTATGTCCTAGAAGATAGAAATGAGAACTAGTAGGAAGCGCAAGGGTAGGGCTGATGATGGGCCGGAGAAAAGCCAGGCAGACGTGGACCAATTAGTCTTGTGGGGCTGGAAGTTCTGGGAAAATGTCTTGCAGGCGATTCATAGGTTCCTGGAGGAGTTTCAACTTATGTTCTATTGTAGAATTTAGGTTCTGATGCTGGCTGGTGAGGTTGGAAGAGTGAGGACTGCTGCTGGTTGGGGGATTCATGACATTGGCGGATATTTTGATGGGAGCATTCAGCTGAAGTTTAGGTTTGATCCAGCTCATGGCCAAGTAGTTCTAGAGAGAATAGGCAACAGTTAGCCTGAGGTAGCGGCTTGAGGCTGTCTCTTCAGAGTCATCCCAAGAGCAACTAGTGCCTTTGTCCCTGTCCCCAAGGTTGTCACTCACCGGTGCCGAATAGATAAAGTTGAACAGCATGAGTGCTATAATAAATACGATTGCACCGATTATGATTTTGAAGTGGTAGCGTTTCCAGACAACGCGGCAGAAGATTGTCACAGGTGACCGCAATATGAACAAGGTGTTGGGGCGTCTGTCCATGAGCAGAGGAGATATCTCGTCAGAGGATGGAGGGCAGAGGGAACCTTCAGGTCAAGTAATCCGCAGCAAAGAGCTTTCTTTTTTTAAAAAGCAACTTCTGCTTGCTTGTGTATCCTGCCCCTGCCCCCCCTTCACCCAGGCCGTTCTCTCCTCCTTGTAACTGAGCACTGAGGTGGGGTGCTGGGAAGTAATGACCCCTCGCCACTTGTAGGCCCACCGCTCACCACCCTATACAAATTGCTGGGCCTGGTAGCTCAGCTTCGTGAATGAGGAGGAAAGATTTGGGGCCTTTGTCCCGCAGGACTCTTACAGGGGAGGATGAAGTGTAGGGTATTGGTTGGGTTCTGATTGGCCTTGCCCTGCTGGCTTGATTAAGGCTTCCTTCTCTGACAGAATCTCCAGCGTCATCTTCACCTTACCCTAGAAACACCATAGGCGGTGGGAGGCTGAGTTCATTACAACAGGTGCGAGAACAGTTTCCCAGGGTCCAGAAAGGAAAAGGGATTTAGCTAAGGTCCCCCGAAGTCTGTTAGAGCCAAGTTATGTGGCATAGCACTCCTATGCAATAGACACCCTCCCCAGCTCCTACCGACATGCGCCATTTGCCACCATCGAGGACCTGGGAAGGCCACCAGCCCGTTACGGTCTTCTTCTTAAAAAGGGAGAAGTGCTTATACTGGAGGAAGTAGGGCCACTTGGAGTCAGTCTCCATCATCCTGATGGAGCATAGGTTGGCGTGCCGGGCCGGGAGGGGCATGTCAAACAAATCCAGCTCCAGGACCCCTGAGCCCAAAGAAATGGCGTCAGCAAGAAGGAGCTCCCTGTCCTGTGGTCGTGGGCCCTGTGGCAGATCTCACCTAGGAAGTCATCCATGGAGAAAATGTTATTGTCCCAGATCTGGATGATGAGCCGGGCTGGGAACTTCATCACTGTGGGGTCCAGGCTCCATATGTAGTCCTGGAGGATGACAGAAGACCATACATATGACTGGCCTGTCTCCTTTGAGATTTCCCTCGGCCGCCTTAGTAGCCCACCACCCAGCACTGATGGACTGTCAAGGAAGAAGGTTTCTTCCTGAGGCCGCATTCCAAGGGTTCTGGGGCAGCTTGTGGTTCGAGGCAGGGCAGGGAGCACAACCCCCCCGCCCCCAAAGGCCTGTTACCTTCTGGCTCTGGACACACATATGCTCGGCTGCCAGGTAATCCATGGTGAAGATGAACCGCCAGTTGAAGTTGCTCTCCCCAGTCAGTGAGTGGTAGTGGATATCCGTCTTCTGCATGTCCTTCTCGAGCCCGACTAACCACCTGGGGCCAAAGGCCTTTCACCTGGGCTTCATGTGTACGGTCCCCATCCCCGAGCTGGAGCCCTGTGGGAAGGGCTCCCCGGCAGACCACCAGGCACAGGTAGGGGTGAAGAGATGTCGCCCCAGGACTGGGGGCCTGGGGCACAGGGAGGGTACGACGGGGGAACTCTGAGGGAATGCCGCCGGAGCCCTGCCCTCTTTCTCACCCTTTGACATAGATGTCGCTCATCCCGGCAGCTAAACTTCTCTTTAGGTCCACTTGGGCAGTCTTCCAGATAATGCAGCGCAGCTCATACCTGCAGCCAGTGGACTCTGAGGCTTTGCTGAGGAGCAGCTCCCCAGTTGCAGCCGTGGTGCAGGAAGAGGGGGCTGGGGGGCTGCCCTGGCGTGCCCACACGAGGCATGCTGAATTTGGGGGAACGCAGGGGAAGGAAGCTCCCAGGATTCCCAGGAGAGGGAAAGAATTGCTGCACCCTAGCGTGTGAGCACACCCATGGCCTGCGCCTGGGAAAGTGCAGTGATGGATGTGGTGGGTCACTCACCTTTTAGGCTTTCTGGGCTTGATGTTGACTGGGGGGCCAGGAGGCCCAAGCTTCTTGGGGAAGATGTCCACCCACATTTGCACCTTTCCCTAGAGTGGAAATGGTTGGCCGGCTGGGAGTTGCCAACCTCTGTTCTCAGCATGCTGGCCTGGGAGCCTGGACCCAGGTTCTGAGATCTGTTGAGGCGGGGTCCGGGCCCCCCCCGCCCCAGCCTCACTGGAGGGTGGGGTAAGGAGGTATCGGTGAGGTGGAGTGGACTTCAGACAGGAAGTCTGGCAACCACCCACCGGCTTCCCTTTTTTCTCGTATTGGCTAGAAGAAGGGTGCAGGGTAAGGTGGGCTGTGTATGATGGCTTCCAGACTGATGGCCATGGCACTGGGATATGACTTGTGACTGGGGTCTGGAGGGTGAATACCCTTTAGCAGGCCATGCTAGGCTGCCTCTCTGGACAGAGCTCCACAGTAGGGTTGGGGCTTCACTTCTTAGCCAGCTTAGTGGCCCCGAGTAAGAGCGAACTAGGTGACCCGTCCAGATGTCTAGGGCGCTGTATGTTGTGGAAGCCTATCCTAAGGATATTGGGCTGTGCACCAAGCGCAGAGCTATAAGAGAGGAGGGATGAAAATGGTGAGAAAAAGGAAGACAAAAAAAGAAAAGAAAAAGCAAATAAAAAAATAAACAAAAAATAAAAGAATAAAAGAGTAGAACTACCAACACTGGAAGGTAGACAAAAATATTCTTTCAAACCGTCTGACCTCATTTTATCCTTTTGAAGTTGACCCCATTTAAGAAAACAGGTTTAATGAGAATGGTTTAGAAAGTGCTCAGCAGAGAACTGTCTGGAATGTGGTATCAGCTTGAGAAGTTTGGAGAATGAGACGAGCCCTTCTGGTGGCTGGAGGGTAGATAATTAGGGTGCCTGTGGGGATTTTTATTCCTTCTGTTTGGGGTTCCTTGCCATGGAGAAAACACAGCCTGCAATTAACAGGCCAACCAGGGTTGTAATGTCTGCACATCTGACCCCAGGTGCTACCTCCCCGGCCTCCCTCAGGAAAGAGGAAGGCAGCATTGGCGCTGGCTGGAAGGATGCCTTAGCGCTTCCACCAACTGATGCATGGCCCAGGTTTCTTGTCGATGACTTTTCCAGCTCTGAATTTCTCCATTCTAGGAGACATCGTTAGAACTTCCCACTTTGAACATGTGCAGAACATGCTGGGCTTCTGTGCATGCATGTACATGTGTGAATGCGTGGCCTCCTCGTCCCCTCTCTGTCACGGGCTGTGTCCTGGATGGCTGGGCTCCCTTGTCTCCCGCCCCAGCCCCTCCGGTCTTCTACCTGGTCGATGCCTGGCTGGCTGTTGCTGTACAGAGTGCGGGTCTCCACATGCTCAGGTACCAGCCCCTGGGTGTGCAGGAGGTACAGTGCAAGGCGTTCTTTCTT